AGTTTCTTGTAAAACTAAACATATACCTACTGTTTAGACCGACAATTATACTTCTAGCAATTTATCCAAAAGAAATGAAAATATACGTCCACAAAAAGATGTGCGTGTGGATGTTCACAGCAGCTTTATTCCGAATAGAGAAAAACTAGAAGCCTCCTGACCATCAAGAGGAAGACAGAAAAATCGTGTTGTATTGTTATATTTGTACTAAGGAATACTACTCAGCAATAAAAAGGAATGAACCACTGATACATGCCACAATCTGAATAAACCACACACAGTGCAATGGACATACTGAATGACTGTTTATATGAAGTCCTAGAACAGGGAAAACTAATCTGTAACGACAGAAATGAGAAAAGTGGTTGTTTCAGGTAAGAGAGGATTGACTGAGAAGGGGTATAAGGGAACACTCTGAAAATAAGCCTAATTAGTATAGTTATTTACTGACCTCAAAAGAAAACTAGGAGCAAACAGTACTGACAAATTGTTACGGCATAATGCCAAAGTTAAAAATTGAATACTACAACTTTACATTATAAAACTGTAATAAAATTCTGACACATTTCTGATTTATTTTTGCATTCTATAAATTCACTCTACAGTGGAAATATTTACCATTGTCCTAACTAACATTCTACCAAAACATCTTATGTGCTCTTCTACTTTACAAGCAAGAACATACAATCAACTACAGGCTTATACCAGAATCCCAAGGAGTGAGATTATCAATTTTCAAATTTATTTTCACTGTGGATCTCATGACTTGCAAAGAGAAGGAAAAAAAGAACCAATGGAGAAATACATTTCCTTTAGACAAAAACACCAAGCATTTTCCCACAGAACAATGTTGCATTAGTGGTTGGTTCCAAGACCAGCCCAAATAAGCAAATTTAACCCATAACTATTACTATAGTTCTGTTCAACTTATACAGCCCTGGTGGTGCACTGATTAAGAGCTCGCCTGCTAACCACAAGGCCAACAGTTTGAATCCACCAGCTGCTCCCTGGAAACCCTATTGGGCAGTTCTACTCTGTCCTATAGGGTCACTATGAGTCACAATCAACTCAACAGCAACGGGTTTGGTTTTTTTGTTGTTTTGTTTTATTCAACTTTTAACTACTATTATAGTAGTATTACATACTAATACTATAGATGTATTGGAAGAAAGGCCTGGTGATCTACTTCCAAAAATAAGCCAATGAAAACCCTATGCTCTGATCTCCTTGTGCATGGATCACCATGAGTCCAATGGTCCGATCTCATTGTGCATGGGTCATCATGAGTCTGAGCCAACTCAACGTCAGCCAACAATAAATGTATTATATATCAAGTCGGCTTTTGGAACCTTAACTACATTATTTCTTTTTATCATTTTATCTTCAAAGCAATTCATAATTGAACTTACTGAAAGTAATCCATCTAAAAAATGAGAATGTTGATTTATAATGTATAGTAATATAAAGAGAAATGACTTTGGGATCTGAACTTTACATGCTATGTGATGCTGGACAAAAGATTAATTTCTTGAGCAAAGGTCCCTCATTTATAAAAACAGTTATAACACATATTTCACAGCATGTTAAGTACTATTTTCAAAAATAAACTGCAGAGCTTCCCATTTCATTTTGGAATCTACAAACTTAAGGGACCAAGAACAAATGGGAATATCAAATTTAAATGTCCCCAAGAAAACAAAAAATTTCACACACTGGACAAAAATAATGTAACTCCTAAAATCTTTTTGAGAGGATAATTTGGCAACATCGAAATTTATAAGGCACATGCTCTTGCCAGATATAGTTACCCAAATGCATACTGTTTCTTTGAGCAAAAACTTAGATATGATTACGTATGACTGCCCAACAATAGGGAATACATTGAGTAAATTATAGCATAATTGTACAATGGAATACCATGAAAGTATACTAAAATATCAACTAGATTTGGGTCTGCTGATAGAAATCTAAATGTAAAAAAAGGATACTATACAAACACTAGAAGAAAACACGGCATATCCTTCTACAACATGAGTGTAAAGAAAGTCTGTCTAACTATGACTCAAGATCCAGATGCAAACAAAAAATGGATAAATTTTGCTATCAAAAAAACCCCAAACAGTTAAAAGACAAATGATAAGACAGGACTCCTGCTGACCAATTCTGAGGCAATCTGAATGTACAACAAAATTTAAAAAACAACAGTAATGGATTATAAAGGTCTGTAAGTGGCGCAAACAGTTTGAGCTTGGCTGAGGTTTGAACCCACCCAGTGGCACCATGGAAGAAAAGGCCTGGCAATCTGCTATTAAGATTACAGCCAAGAAAGCCCTATGGAGCAGTTCTACTCTTTTAACACATGGGATTGCCGTGAGTTGGAATTAGCTCTAAAGCAACTAACAACAATGGATTATAACTCACTGAATAAAATAAGAACAATGAGTCCATCCTGATAATAGTTAGACATATGGATAGGGAAGAAGGGCGGACTCTTTCATGCAGTAGAATGCCAATGGATAACTGTGGAAAGAATAGTAGAATTTGAAAATCATCAATCCACAACTATCATAATAAAGATTGGTTCATGCAAGAATCATCAATGCACGATAATAATTCTGGAGGGGAATGTTTGATGAGGTACAGGATATTACTTATGTGGCCTAAAATAATTGGGGCCTCAGAAATTGCTTATTAGTTGCAAGAAGAGAAATAGTAACTAAACAATGGAGAAACCAAATAACATCTTGAATGAGTGATCAAAATTAGCATCATCAATGAAGCGCGTGTCAATAACAGGCTGATAGACTTTGTATGTCTCTGCATGTGATACCCTGAAAAGAACACAATGACAGCTATGGTTAGGGATTTATAATCTGGATCTAATCATGAAGAAACACCAGATAATCTCAAGATGAGGAATACTCTATAAAATAACTTCCTTGAATTTCTAAAAAATGTCAATGTCATGAAAGACAAAGGAAGTCCATGGAACTGTTCCATAAAAGATTAAAAGACATGAGAATTAAATGAAATACAATATTCTAAGCTGGATTCTACACTGGAAGGAAAAATAAATATAATGAAAGACATTATTGAGATAATTGCTGATACTGTAGAGAACAGAATTATATCAAGGTTACATTCCTCAGTTTGATCAGCCAGCGCAGTGTTTGGACTCCACTAATGTCATGGCATTTTGGGAGAAGCTGATGTTCTGCCAGACCCTGGTGCTGAAGATGCAGTCAGGGCAATTCCCTGGCCCCTTCCTTCCTACCGTCTTCCCGCCTTTTCCCTCCCTCTTCTGGTAGGATGAGGCAAGCAGGCCTGGGCAAACGAGTACCTCCTGGAAATTATGAGAATTATGGCTATGCTGATAGTGGATACAATGCCTGCGAAGAAGAAAACGACTCACTGAAAGTCTGAGAAGCAAAGTAACTGCTATAAAATTTCTTTCCACTGAAATACGCCATGAAGTTAAACATCAAAATAAATTATCAGCTGAAATGGATTCACAATTTGACTCTACAACCGGATTTCCAGGTAAAACTATGGGGAAACTGAAGATTTTATCCAGAGCAAGCCAAACCAACCTGTTCTGCTATATGATGCTGTTTTCATTCTTTGTCTTTTTTGTCATTTACTGGATTATTAAACTCAGGTGATAGTAAAAAAAAAAAAAAAAAAAAAATTCTTCAATTTGATAACTGCACTGTTTATAAGAAAATGCTGTTCTTAGGAAATAAACTGTATTATTAAGCAGTAAAAAGGCATGATGTGTGAAAACTAATCTCTTAAACAGTTTAAAACATGACTGTGTGTCCATGTGGTTTTATTATACACACATTGGGTGCGAAGAAAATGATAAAGCAAATGTAGCAAAATATTAAAAATTGGTGAATTTAGGTAACAGGTATATGAGCTATCTCTGTATAATTCTTACAACTTTCCTGTAATTATAAAATTATTTCAAATTAATAAGTGAAAAAAAAAAAAAGACACACAGACATTGAAATTTCTAGAAGGATACACCCAAACAAAGATAGCAATCAATGAGTAAGGGAAGGAGACTCTCTACAAAGATCCTTTAAAATATAACAGCTACCTCAGAATAACAGTCCACCCAGTTGTTCTCTTTAAATACGTAGCCTCAGAGCCAGAGTTTCCTAACCTGGGATCCATGGACCCAACGGGTCTGTGGACAGAATTCACTCAGTCCATGAATCGGATGGGGAAAAAAAACTACATTTAAATTTTCATTAACATTTAACTGATATTTTTTCAACCATGAATGTAGGCAACAAACAATAACAGTTTTAGAAGGACCTGTAACTTTATCACCAATAAAAACCATATATATTTTCTTTTCACATTACAGTTGTTGAGTTTCTCAAAATAAAGTATGTACTATTCAGTATTTTCATATAATCACAATTGTTAAATTTTATTTAATGCGACATATAATAGAAAGCACATATATTACATCACAAACCTGCTTTTTAAGTATTTTGACACCTGTATTTCAAAATAATTGGTTTACTTATAATCCTATGCATTTCATTTTATTCACTTAAAGATGTCATTCTGAAAACGGATCTGCGAACAACAGGCTGCCCAAGGGTCCATGGCACAAAAAAGTTAAGCACCTCTGCTCTAAGCCACAGATCCTTCATTTATTTGTATGTCATAATGAGGAAAATTAAAAGCTTGCAGGTTTTTGCCCTGCCACAAAGCAAGGTATAAAAAGATAGACATCATTGATAATGAATGTTTAATCTAACCTCATTATTTAGTTTCTAAATAATTTCCACTAAGTAGTATAGCAAAAATTATTCAAAATATTAACTTGCAACTTTATATGGACAAAGTACCCACTAAGGAATAAAACACCCAGACATAGAGGCAGACAGCTATAAAAATGAATCGGGACCATGAAATGTCTTACAGAAAAACTCAAAACATTTACCGCTTAAGCAAACTGGTTAAAAACAAGTACTATTTACCATCTCTCTTTCGGAAAATTTTTTAAAATTTCTTTAATGATTGGCTGGTAGCAGGCATCCCTCTCTGCTTTCCCAGTTTCACTCCAGTCTCTCACAAACTGTTTCAGTGTGGATTTTAACTTATCCATGTCAAATGTAGATGCAGGCATAATCTTTCCATTCCCCTGTTTAAAAAACAGAAACCAATCAGCTTCTGAGAAAGCAACCCATCTTGAATATGGTTAGACATGCTACTAAAGGGCTAAATAGGTGGTTTAGCAGGCATATCATTAGCCTCTCACCTCAACCAGGATTCAGTGCAGCTTGAGATCGTAAATGAAAAGAGTTTGGTGGTCTCACCTCAATCTTTAATAGATTAAGGTCCATTAATCATAAAACCACCATATAATTAAGCAGTCTGTACTCAGGAGAGGACCAGAACTGAGCTGCTATGGAGACCGAACATCCTCTCTCTCTAAGAGAGGGAAGAAAGTCCCTCCAGGTCATTGATTGGGCAGCATGGAGAGGCTAACATGGAGTGGCCCAACTGTATCTATCCTGTGGATACAAAAAGAGGACTTCAGTTCCAATTACTGCCAGCCCCTTGAGATTTATAAGTGAAATTAATTTCTTAAAGTAAAAGATGAGTATCAGTAGATACAAGATACTGAAAAAATGTTTAGCAAGGGAAATTAATTTTACAGAGCTAGTAAAGTTGTTTAAACATTTTACTCACTAACCCTATATGCCAGAATAGTCAGAACACTATTGAAGTGTATCAAAATGCAAACAATTCATAATATTAAAAAAAATCAGTGTACAAATCTAGTTTCTGGCATCTTGTTCTATTAAATATTAAGCCTAATCAAGTGACCGAGCATCTCAGTGAAAACACTCTGTAAATTATATTTGCGAAACTGTAAAAATGAAATCCAGAAGGAAAAACTCAAGACCTCAAAATACAAAGGTTAAACCCAAAATGAAAGCAAACAAAACAAACTTTCACATACATCTTCTCCATATTCTTTATTTTCAAACATATGTATGCAATCATTCACAATGGTCAGCAGTATTTCTTGATTATGATCAATGCACTTCCGGATCTTGTCCAAGTGAAGAAGAAACTGAGGAAGTAGTTTCTGTTGATTAGCTGGAAGTGATCGGAACTGTCTTTCTGTTCGATGCACTCGCTCATGCATACTGGTGCTAGAACATAAAAGGTATTTTTTAAATTGGCAAAAGAATTCTCACCAGAGGCCCATCTTATTTTAAGGCTTACTTTCTGACAATTATTCCCTGATAATGTTGGCTACTGTTCTGTCATTAACAACCTTCTACCTAAGTGGATTTCAATTTAGAAAGTTTTATGTGTTTTTACTTTATTATAATTTTTTCCTTAAGCAACCAAATAAGTGACGAATGGCTTATGACTAATAAAAGTGAACTTCTACACCAATTAAAGGGGGAAAAAAGGAAACATAAAGAGGGTTAATGTGCAATTCATTTATTTCTATTTCAATTTTCAAAGAAAATTATCAGCAAAACTAGTTGAATACTTTAGATTTCTCCACCAGTAAGTTGTAGAATGCTACTTTGAAACTAAAGAATATACACAAAGTATATTTTAGTTAACTACTAAAAGCCACCCGTGTTGAATTTTTTAAAAATATCATAAAAGATCTTATGTACTGCAAAAGTAGTAAGCAACTGAAGAACTGAAACTCTATACAGTTTTACATGTAAGATTCATAATTAGCATTCTGAAAGTTTCTAGATAACTTTAAAGGCAACTTTGGGAACTACTTATTTATAAGACCAGAAAAGAGAAGACCATTTTAAAAAGTTAAATACATGCTCACAATGAAATGCAGTTTTACATAAATCGGATGGGTAAAACTTAAAAGCCTGACAATATAAAACGCTGGTGAACATGTGGAATAATTAGAACATTATACACACTGATGGACGGTGCATAAATTAGTACACCACTGTGGAAAATAATTTAGCATTATCACGTGCCCTATGACCTAGCAATTATACTTCTAGGCAGACATACACTCTTAAGAAACTCTTGCACATGGGCACCAAAAAACTTAAACAATATTCAACAAAACAATGAAATAAGAAACAAAAAATCTGGAGACAACCCAGAGGTTCATCACAAGTAGACTGCAGGAAGAAATTGTTTAGTTATACAACAGAATACAGTGAAATGAGTAACTCAGTTACAGTAACATGGCTAAACTTCAAAAATGTAATATATTTGTCGAAAAAAGCAAGCTGCATAAGAATACATAATATACAATTCCATTTTATATAAAATTAAACAAGATATCATTTTAGGGATTGAACATAAGTGGAAAAACTAAAAGGAAATTAAGAAACGAAAAGTCAAGACTTTCTGAAGGAAAAGAGACAGGATAATTTTCTTTTTTTAAACTGAGTGGTAGATTCACGGGTGTTCACTGCATCACTTTTACATTACACACACACATATGCAAATCCATGTGTATTTCTTTTAAATATTCTTTTGCATTTATTCAATGTTTAAGGAAAATAAAATGTACTGTTTTCATTTAGGTGCCAGAATCTCTCTATACATCCAAATAATTCTTTTTTACTTTCTTGTGCTAAATTACTCTCTAATTTCTGAACAGTAATGTTTAAAGAAGTCCAGAAGAAGCCCTTAACAAAATTTAAGCAGAAACCTGGCATGTATTTAGAAGCTTCTGTATTTTTTTTTTTTTGGAGGGTGGGTGCCGTGTAGATAATGTGAAGGGATCAAGTCAGCAGTGGCTGCAATGATTTTCTATTTTTTTCCCTGGAGACAGTATAGAAGTGAGCTTTGAAGTCAAACAGATGTGGGTTGAAATCCAAGTTATGCCAGCTATTTGCTAAGTGACCCTGGGCAAATTACTTCCTTTGTCTGGGCTCCAACTGTCTCATCTACAAAATCAAGACAATAAATAACAACAAAAATTATGAGGAGGATCATAGCAGCTACCATTCATTGAAGTTTAATAAATCTAGACACTAAACCATGTCACTTAATATGGATTACTCTGGAACATCTCCTTAAAATGCTATGAGGCAGGTAACAATATGCTCCTCTGCCTACCTAATAGGGTTTCATTGAAAACTGAACAAAATAATGCAAGTACAACACTTAGCCCAGTGCCTGAAAACATAACTGCTCAAAAAATAGTAAGCATATCTAATTTATATAACTAATATGTTCACAGCAAAAACATTAAAATTACAGCAAAGTAAAAGGACTCAGGGAAAAAAGCCTCTTACAGAGGCTAACCAAAAGTTCGGCAGTTTATACCCACCAGGTGCTCCTTGGAAACTCTATGGGGCAATTCTACTCAGTCCTATAGGGTCGCTATGACTCGACTCGACAGCAACGGGTCTGGTTTTTTGGTTTTTCTTATAGAGGCAGCCACTTCTAACCTTTTTGGCATATTTATCTCTTGTCTGTTGTTGAAGATAAAGTCATCTATTCAAAATGTGGTACACAGAACAGATCACTTGGAAGTGGTTAGAAATGCAGAATCTCAGGTCCCACCCACGACCCACTGAATCAGAATCTGCCTTTTAATAAGATTCTCAGGTGATGCGTAAACACATTAAAGTTTGAGAAGTACTTGTAATTCTTCATCCTTATCATAAGCATCTTCCTAGGTCAGAAAAAAGTTCTCCAACATAATGTAATGACTATAATGGCTGTTCATCATTCCATTTTATGCAGCCAAAATTTACTTAGCTATTTCCCAACTCCTGGTCATTTAGATGCGAGAGACCTGGGTTCAATCACCTGATGTGCAGCCACCACTCCTCTCTCAGTAGAGGCTTGTGTGTTGCTGAACAGGTTTCTGTGGAGCTTGCAGACTAAGACAGACTAGGAAGAAAGTCCTTGCAATCTACTTGTGAAAAATCAGCCAATGAAAACTCTATGGATCACAATGGTCTGATCTGCAACTGATTATGGGGATGGCACAGGACCAGGCAGCGTTTTGGTCTGTTGTACATGGGGTTGCCATGAGTCTGGGGCTGCCTCTATGGCAGCTAGTAACAAGAAGTTAGGCAGCAGAGCTGCAGCAGTTTACAATTCATTGTCAACAGGTTACATAGTCTCATTCCCAGTATTCTTGGGTACCGATGCCCTACAACAGCCTGCCCACACCTCAAAACTCATCATATCTAAACAAAACACATACCTCACTCAAAATCTTGCCACTTCACCTATATTACTCTTATTGATGAATCGAGTACCATACATCTACCCAAGTCAGAAACCAAAGTCATCCTAAAATGCCTCTTCTCTCAGTACCCATAATCAGGAAGCCCAGATCCTTTGATGCTACTTCATAAAACTATCTGCAAATTACCTCATCCCTGCTGCTTTACCTCACACCCTCATTATGATTCCCAAAGACTACCTAGAAATGTTATTCCCAGCCTAGAAATAATGGTTAGGTGAGACTTTAAAAATTGAAATTCACAGATGAGGAGATAGGCATATAACAAGGTGAGCAACTTGCCTAAGGTTACACAGCCAAATTGTGGTGAGTCTGGCCTGAAAACCAGAATTGTACACATAAATTTTACCCTGCATTAATAAAACCCCACCACCACTGCCACTATCAGGTGAATTCTTCTAAAATACATGACACATCTACGTCACTATTGAATCTCCATACCTCAGCATATGGAAAAAGCAATCAATAAATTTACAGTTATGCTTCCAAGGTGCCACTTTGGTTTCTTCGTAGACACTGTTTATTTCCACAGTTGCAGCGTTGCTGAGGAGACTTGGGTTGGTTGGAGGCGCATACACAAATGTGCTTTCAATTCCTAGTACAGAAGTTAAGTAACTACAAAGAGCAGGCTGAGATGCAGCATAGCCTTTATCCCTTGCTTACCTAATGTGTGCAAAGCTGCCCTTAACATACATCAACAGTGACATTCTTAAAGTGGATAGCGGTCTTACCAAAGTTGAGAAAATAGTCCAATCCTTACCATACCATTATAATTGGGACTAACTTCACTGTTCTGGCAATACTTACACTATCAATGTGCTTTAAGGCAGGGGTTGGCAAACTATATGGCCCAATGGCTACCTGGCCTGTTTCTGCTAAACAGATTTTTACCAGAACACAGCCACATCCATTTGTTTACATACTGTCTATGGTTGCTCTCTCTCTACAATGGCAGAGCTAAACAGCTGTAACAGAAACCACCAGATCCTCAGAGCCTTAAATATTTATTATCTGGCCCTTTAAAGAAACACCTTGCTGAACCTTGCTTTTAAATCAATGTTTTACAAACATTCTGTATCAGAAGTAACTCAGCATCAGGCGGCCACATCCTCAGGGGGCTGCAGGAAGAAAGCAGAATCACTGGACATATTTCCTCAAAGGTATCTCCACCTCCAGCTCACCAGAATCCAAAAAAGCTGGTCTTGGCCCCAACTCTGAGAAAGTCGCCTTTGACTAAGACTGACACTGTGTGTGAGTCTGACCATGGCCCATTCCTCTACACCAGTTAAACTAGTTTAAGAATTCCAAAGAGAAAAACATACTTTATCAGAAATAAAGCCTGTCTCAACACAATTTAAATATTTATTAAATATATCAGTACTAGCTGCCATCAAGTCGATTCTAATTCAAAGCAACCCCATGTGTGTTAGAGTAGAACTGTACTCCACAGGATTTTTCGGAAGTAGGTCGCCAGGCCTTCCTTTCTTTCAAGGTACCTCTCAGTGGACTAGAACCTCCAACCTTTCAGTTAGCATGTTAACTGTGTGCACCACCCAGGGACTCCTATTTATTAAATATCCAAGGTTAAATTTGTCTTACTAGTATCACTGCTTATTACTACAGGGTAAAATTTATGTGTATAATTTTCTGAATTTCAGGCCAGACTCTCACCACAATTTGGTTGTGTAACCCTAAACACGCTGCTCATCTTTTTATATGCCTATCTGCTCACCTGTGAAAATTAGTTTTAAAGTTCAATTTTTAAAATCTCACCTAACCATTATTCTAAAGGTGGGATGTTTCTGACAAGACATTGGCTACTTCAACTGTAGTATTTTCTGCATGCCTAGGTAACTCTTCATTCATAACAAGAGTGGTCTTTTAAAGCTAACAACATTTTTATTATTCACTACAATGCTACAACCAGATTTATCTTCATTAGAATATGTCATCTCAGCAAAATCTGTAGGAAGCACAAAATTAAGCCACTGGCAAGAAAAAACATTAGCCAGAAGACATTTTTGCCCTTTGATTTTTTTAATCTAAAATCTCCTACACAGTGATCAAAAAGACATTTTGCCATAAATCCAAACCCTCTAAAATTTGAAAGTACTTGGTAAGCATCAAGAACAGGACTCTCCATCAGACGATGATGAAAAGGCTCTGGATCTCCACTGTCCAATACAGCAGACTCTAGCCACACGTGGCTACTGAGCACTTGAAATGCAGCTAATGAGACTGAGGAACTGAATTTTAAATTGTATTTAATTTTAATTAATTTAAACTTAAATTTAGCCAGATGTGACTAATGGGTATGGAATTGGACAGTGCAGGTCTAGGAGACCATAAAATGTTGGAATATTAACAATCCAGTGTGCTTCTCGCTAAACAATGCTTTCCATTCACCTAGTTCTTTAAGCGACATTTTAAAAGCCTATTTTTAACCGTATAGTATTTTCAGTCCAAAGGGGCTCTGATGGCACAGTGGTTAAGCACTTTGCTGCTAACCAAAAGGTCGGCAGTTCGAACCCACTAGCTGCTCCATGGGAGAAAGACATGGCAGTCTGCTTCCCTAAAGATTTCAGCCTTAGAAACTCTCTGGGCCAGTTTTACTCCATCCTGTAGGGTCGCTATGAGTCAGAATCAACTCAAAGGCAATGGGTTTATTTTCAGTTCATGAATTTGAAGTGTTTCATTTAGAGAGTACACGCAAAAAAAAAAAAGTTTTTTTAAAAATAAAACTTTCTTTGATCCTACATTAAACTTGGAAAGGAGAGGGATGAGAGTAAATATAAGAAACAGTATCACAACCACCAGAATATGCACACAGACGCCCTTTTCTATACAGCCAACTCAAAGGCTTGATCAAGGCTCATCTGATACCTAATCAGACACTAAATTTAAATTGGTGCTAATATATTAAAACCAGGTACAAGTATTACACACATTCAACCAAATGAGTCTACTATATTTCTAATGCATTTCCCAATATTCTTTCTCAAAATTTCAACAGTAAAATGTACCAGGTTTTTCCACACCTACCACTTTTAGCTATCTGATGTTCAGCTGCTTCCCCTCATTGCATGGTTCTTCCAAGTACAATTCTTGAGTCAAATTCAATTCTCTGGATGTCTGCCTTCCTCCCTTAGATTTCAAATCTGGATTAATAAAATCCTCCAACTACTATTTACCTTTTGGGCTCCTTAAGTAATGGTCCTTCTGCCTGGGTTTACTTAGTAAATTATTTTGTAAATATCTATGAACCTCAAACATTTATGTCGCAGATGTGTTATAGAATAGAAATGCTCCATATGGTTTTCTTGGCTGTAATCGTCACAGAAGCAGATTGCCAGGCCTTTCTTCTGGGGCTCAAACTGCCAACTTTTAGGTTAGTAGTGCAAACCGTTTGTTCCACCCAAGGACCTTTAATCAGATTCTAAATAACTTTATGAAACATGTTTCAAATTCAGAATAACACACTAGTTTACCCAGCAATTAAAAACTGACAGATTATTCGAGGACAGATGTATTTCTTTGCTACTTCTTTTGTTAAAAATAGAACATCAACAACTATGCCAGGCACTAGTGCGGTAAAAATGAGGCTCATGCTCTGCCCTTGAGGAGGTCACAGACAAGCAAGAGATTTATATACATAAACTACAAGACAAAGATGAACAAACAAAGTCTGCATACAGTATAGCAGAAGCTCAACTAAGAAAACAGTTTTGCCTGCAAAACTGTCGGTCTGATTCCAATTGTAGACGCAGAACATAGCCGTCTGTAGACTCACATATCTCTTACATGAATAAGTGTTATCTTCATCTGAAACCCAGCTGAGTTAAGTCTCGTTTGGATCTTGGAATTATGAATTTGTGATTAAGCTATTCTAACATCTACAAGAAATCCACTATTCACTATCTAGAAGTGGAAGGAAGCTGAATTATCAGTGAGGAACAGAGAGTATACATAAAGGTCATATCACCGTGCACAGCCCACAGTCACCATTCAATACGTATTTGCAGAATACAAGAACATTAAAGACTGCTCATACGTGCCTCCTCTCCAGCATTTCCCTCATTAATAATCAGCAAACTTCAGAACTTCTGGACCACCTGTCCCCTTAAATTCACCCACCAGTTAAAAACATTGAGCAGCAGCAATCAATCGCTCACCACAAACGTGCATGAGCCAAGCGAGGCAGGGTGGAAATCTTATGCTGCTCCCAAGAGTCGGTAACAGTTAGGGAAATGTGTTCTATGGCATCCCACGTGTGGGTGAACTTGGGCTCTCCGTATGTTCAGTTTGGAGGGCATCGACAAGACATACAAATCATGCCCAACACTGGACGACTTTACCACCATCGTCTTCTATCTGAAATTGCTACAGTCATCCCCACCGGCCTCAAAGCCAAACCTTTAACGCAGATGGAAGACAAGAGAGCTAACATGATCCTGAGGTCAGAAGACACACGGCTGAGCAGAAGACAGCACGGCAGAAACGCGGGTGTGCAGGACCGGGAGGGGCTGGGGTGGTGCAAGGTGACTCCGGGGCCCCGAGGTCAGCTCAGGCGACCCGGTCGGGCGCCCCTGGGGGCGTAGCGGCCGGAGGACGAGCGCGGCAAGCACGACCGATCCGGCGGGTCCGCCACAACCAGCGGGCACCCTGACGGGTTGGGCTGGGGTCCACCACAGGCTCCTTACCCATAGTAGCGGAAGGCATTAATGATCTTCCAGAAGTGCTCGCGCTCGAGCCGCTCCTCCTCCTCCTCTGTGCTGCGCGCGGCCGCCGCGGAAACCGCCGCGGCCGAGCCCAAACGCCCGGCGGAGAACTGCACTTCCACTTCCTCACTCCCACCGTCAACACCGCAGCCGCCTACCCCGGAGCCCTCTGGCAGCTGCGAGGCGGGCGGCGGAGGGCGCCGCCGTCGTTGCATCGCCGCCGAGGCCCTAAGCCTGGCTCGCTTGTGTCTCGTGGCGACTGAAAGCGTCGTGGCGGCTGCTCGGCCTTCCTCTAGACGGCGCCCGCCACGAACATACCCCAAACTCGCGGCGCGCTCCGCCCCCGCCGCCCTCAGGCCTCCATCCACGCCGAGATCCGCCAGGTCTTCAGAGATCCCCTAACACAAGCGCGTGCGCGGGTACGACTAAGGGCCACGGCCGCCTGCGCTCATTTGCTGGCGGGCTTCGGCGGCGTCCGCGCGTGACGTCACGACGGTGCGTCCTGAGGACGGGGCTAGGGGCCAGGTAGGAGGAGCGCGGGAGGAGATCCCTGGGGGGTGGGGCTGCCACGGCTGGTACCTACGAGTGGTCGTGTGGGTGATGGTGAAGTGCCTGCAAAGCTAAATTGTGGAACAGGCAACTAAACCTAGGTTTAAGGCATTAGCAAAGCAGAAGAAAGAAAAAGTTCAATTTTGATGAACTAATTGGAATTTGAATTACGAAAATCTAGAAGGCAGGCTTTAGATTCACCATAAATTTAAGTTTTAATTAATTTCCTAAATGAATTTTTATTTTTAATCACATAAGGGCGGGGCACCGTAAGTTTCTGTGTTTAAGGGCCTGCGAAGGTCCTAATCCCGCCCTGACTGGTGATGGTAGAAGATGAAGAAAATAGAGGGATATAACTCTATTCCCTACCTGTGCCTTAGAAGACCATCAAAATGCCAGGAGCGTTAATACTCTCAGCTTTGGCCCAGGGATACCCATTAGCATCTAATGGTGGCCTTCAGCAATGCTGGACTTAACCCCCTCCTTTTCGTCACCTACATTCACTCACTTTTTGCCGCATTTTTCTCTGGTCTGAGGGCTAAAAGGGCTGCCCTGCCTACATCTGTTATTGATAGGAAATAATCCATTCAGCTCAATTTAATCTGCCAGTCAGGGAGTCGTTAGGCCCTGGAAGAATCTCATCACCTAGCAAATCAATCTTACAAAATAATGGTAAAAATAAGGGAAAGATTGTTATATTTAGAACAATTAGATATGTGCAGGTACCATAGATTCTGTTAGAAGGATATAATCACACTGAAAATGAAATGGCTACATATTTTCATGATTGAAATTAAAAAAGAAAACAGTAGACAGTTGCTGTCAGAGTCAATTCTGACTCATGGCAACCCATGTGTGTCAAGATAGAACCGTGCTCCATAGGGTTTTCAATGGCTGATTTTTCAAAAGTAGATTGCCAGGCCTTTCTTCTGAGGCACCTCTGGATGGACTTCAACACTAGCAGCAGAGCATATTATCCGTTTATCTGTTTGCATCACCCGGTTGCCAACTGAAATAAAAGCAATGCTAAAGTAAATACTGTAGTTATTAATACTTACATTAAAAATATTTTTCTAAAATTTCAAAGTCTATTTTTTTAAATACATGGTTCAAAAGGAAAATGCAGAGAGTCGCACATGTGAAAAGTTTCTTTACCCCTCCCGCTAGACACTCATGGTCCTAGGCTGGGTTCTCTAGAGAAACAAAACCAGTAAAGCATATAAATGTATACAGAGAGATTTATATCAAGTAAATGGCTCAAGCGGGTGTAGAAGCTGAAACATCCCAAGTCTGTGGGTCAGGCTGGAGACTTCTCCTGATTCATGTAGCCGCAGGGTCTGGCGAACCCTAGATCAGCAAGTCAGACAGCAGGGCTCGGGCTCACAGGCTGCGAAAACCAACGATTAGCAGGTAAGCTGCTAGCTCAAGTCCCAAGAACTGGAGGTCAGATGAACAGGAGCCAGCTGCAGGATCTACAGCGAGCAAAAGCCCACGAGCCTTGCCAGACAGTCCACCATATATTGGATGAAAGTCATACCCCCAAGGAAACTCCCTTTCAACTGATTGGCTACTCACAGCAGATCCCATCATGGAAGTGATTACATCATTATATGACTGCCAAACTATATCATAACTGCCAAACCACTGAGAATCATGGCCCAGCTATGTTGACACACCACCTTAATGATCACACTTATATCCCCTCCCCAGACAAATATATCAATTCCTTCCCTATGCAATTATTAGAGACTGGTGTTTAAAAATTATGAATAAATTCTCATATTAATTGTTAATGCTATTTTCATTCATATACACACACAGATTAGAAATTTAATAATTTGTGATATGTACTGAAATAGGTCAAATTGACCTAACTGATACAGGTCAGAATGCCATGGATGACAGTACTTTTCAACTGCTCAATCCTGGGCAATGTAATAAACTGTATGTAGAGGATTTCTTGGTTTTGTCTCATAACCTAGTGAGAGTCTTAGGGCCTGTTTCATTAAGATGCTCAACTTTAAACACTTATAATTTTACAGATAAGGAAACTGGAGAACAGAAATATTCAGTGATCTACATTGGGTCATACTGGCATTCTTCCCTACCCCAAACCCCAACCCCCACAGCCCCGCAGGTCTTGTGCTTTTTATTTTATCAGTATTTGGTTATGACTTTGAGTATACTTGAAAAATATTGTGCTAGCTAACATTTGTTTATCATTTTACACTTTAAAAAAATTTTTTTAACCATTTTATCACCTTATTTGTTCCTCATAAAAGCTCTGTGAAGGTGCTATTATTATCCACTTTTAACAAATGAAGAAACAGACTCTGAGACATTAATTTTCTTACTTAGGGACACAAATAGCAAGAGTTGAACTTCATTCATTCTTAACCCCTCCTCCAACAAAGGTGTTGACTATCTCCTATGTTTCTTGCAGTGAGCTAAAGGCAGCTAGAAGCTATTAGAAGCATAGGATTCTCATTCTAACTCTGCGGCTTAGTAACTCTGTGACCTGTTGAAAAAGTTACTTGAAGCCTTGATTGTATCATAATATTAGCCTTCTTCCAGGGTCTTTGGGAAGAATAAGTGAGATAGAGTGGGAAATGCCTGGTATATACATTCAATAAATGAAGTTTTCTCCCAATCTTTTAGGTGTATTTAGAATAAATATTTGAGTTTGTTTTAAAACACTTTTCTTCAGACTTCTTTGATCTAACTTCTTTGTGAAGAGTTTCCCCTAGAAATCTTTGTAAACCATGGAGCCTTTTGAACTGAAAGTTTTGGAATGTTTTCACCAGAAAGAGGTCAGTTAATCTCCAGGGATTAATCACCAAAAAAGCCATCATGCTTTCTCTCGATACTCCAGACATCTGTTAGTTAAGCAGTCCATTCATACATTCATACATTGCTGATGGGACTATGAATGGTACAGCCACTCTGAAAAAGAGTATGGCAGTTTTCGTTTTTTACAAAACTAAACGTGCACTTACCATACAACACAACAATTGAACTCTTGGACATTTATCCTGGAGAAATGAAAACTTATGTTCACACAAAAATCTATACATGAATATTCATAGCAGCTTTATTTGCAAAAGCCAAAAACTGGAGACAACTCAGAGGTCCTTTAGCAGATGAGTGGTTAAACTGTGGCACATCCATTCTATAGAATAATACTCAGCAATAAAACAGGACTCAATTATTGATATATGCAATAACTTAGATGAATCTGAAGGGAATTAGATGCTGAGTGAAAAAAAAATCTCAAAAGGTTATATACTGTATGATCTCATATACAACATTCTCGAAATTACAGAGTTATAGAGATGGAGAACAGATAAGTGGTTGCCAGGGTTTGAGGGTACTGGGGAGAAAGGGAAGTGGCTATGGCTATAAAGGGGTAACACAAGGGATCCTTGAGATGGAACTGTTTTGTCTTGACTATGTGTGGTGGTCACACAAATATGTGATGAAATTCCATAGAAATAAATACACACGTGTATACACACACACAAGTGAATGTAAAACTGGTGAAATCTGAATAAGGTCCATGGGCTTTATCAATCAATGTCAGTTTCCTGGTGTGCTATTTATTATAGTTATGCAGGATATTACCATTGGGGGAAACTGGGTGAAGGGTATATGAAATCTCTGAATTCTTTCTTACGGCTGCATATGAATCTACAATTATCTCAAAATAACTTTTTCTTAGTGGCACACAAATTTGTAACTTTTACTCGATACTTATACATTTTTATATTTAAACCCAGAAAGAGTTTCTAAGTAAATTAATCTCTTTTCTCATTTAAAAAAAAAAAATAGAATATTTAAATTATGGGAACTTTCAAACTTTCTCTTTTGGGACAAAGATGTGGTATTCTGCTTCTGTAAAGATTACAGCCTTGGAAACCTTATGAGGCAGTTCTGCTCTGTCCTGTAGGGTCGCTATGAGTCAGACTCAACTCCACAGCAATGGCTTTGGGGTTTTTATTTGTTTGTTTCAGCTATCAATTTGCCTATTAAATTATTTCCTAAGGCTCACTAGAGTTCCTTAGTGGTGTAAACAGTTAACACGCTCAACTGCTAACTAAAAGGTTGGAGGTTCAAGTCTACCCAGAGGTGCCTCAGAAGAAAGGCCTGGAGATCTACTTTCAAAACATCAGCCATTGAAAATCCTATGGAGCATAGTTCTACTCTGACACACACAGCGTCACCATGAGTCAGAGTTGACTTGACCGCAACAGGTTTTATCCAGCATGGGATTCCTGGATATCATTTCCAAAGCTGATCTTTCCCATGTTGTTAAATATGACAAATTGAAAAGAAAGCAACTCCGTATCCTATTGTTTGAACAGGAGGTCTTAACTTGTTTTTCAACTTCAGGTACTTGATTAATGTAAACACCTCTAGTTTTCCCAGTCGTATCAACAAAGTTACTCCCTCATTATTCTCGAAGATGTTTCATAATGAATAAATGTTTGTAAATATTGGCTTTGAAATCTGCGTATCTACTAATTTATTAATCCTAAGTATATTTTTATTAGCCTCACATCCACCATGTGGATACCTCATGGAAGGATGGTAATTATATATTATGTTGCTTTACCTTTTAGCCAGCTGCTTTGCCTACTAGACTGTAAGTTTTTTGAGGGTGGAAGCGCATCAGTTTTGTTCATGCTTGTATCCTCAGCACCTAGCACAGTGTCTGGCATGTGACTATTTTCCATAACCATTTTGTAGTATGAATAAATGAATTTACAAGTGCCAGGCAATGTGTTAAACACTGTACATATATCATTACATGTAACTTAATACAACAGTCTCATCTCCCCCAAACCCC